CTCCCCAAACAATAGTAACACCAGTCTAGTCCTAAAAACACTTCGAACCAACTCAAAACGAGGGAAAATCTACAAAATGCCTGACTGGAACTCTTCTAAAGTGTCAAAATTATGAAAGACAGAGAAAGACTGAGAAGATGTTTCAGATTGGAGGAGGCTAAGGAAACATGACTAAATGCAATGTGAGATCCTTGATGGGATCCTGGAATGGTTGGGGGAAGACATTTGTGAAAGTGGGTAAAATCCAAAGATTGTCTGTATTTCCGTGAATAGCATTATACCAAAGTTAACGTCTTAGATTTGACAAATGTACCCGCTTATATAAAATGTTAATATTAGAGGATGCTGGGTGAAGGGTACATGGGAACTCTCCATTCTATTTTTTGCAACTTCTCTCTACAATTATTCCCAAATGAAGTTTATTGAAAAGAAAATTGCAAAAATAAATTCTTATTAAAGAAATTAGACATGCAAATGACAGCATATTTTTAGCTAATCAAAATCCTGACTAGTCTGAAGGTGTACAGTCATGGTCATCTCATGAGGGTATGTGGTAAGTGGCTCTCAGGAATAATATAGTAAGCCTGGATTATCCACATGGCAGCTTTGCACAGGGCGATGACGGCTCCGGACTGGAACTGAACTCCTTCCATGCACTTGACCAATGCAGTGGTGGGAGCGGCCAGAACAAGCAGTGTGAGTGGCGGGTTTAAAGGGAGGGAATGTTTTCTGCTTGGTGTTACCTTTGTCCTTGGGCTTTGTCCTAAGTTAGACAGTGGGTGACCAGGGAACTGGCACAACCTGGCTGGTCGGGTTCAGAGTTCGTTTCCTCTCTAGCAGCGAGTGCCTTTTGGTCTGGAAAGTCAGCTTATCTCATAATACCCACGGCTAGGACACTATCTGTAATTATGAATTGTCCTTTTTTTTACATTAACTAAAAGAGTATGTCTGTGATCACTAGAGTTTGTTTCTACTGTGTCTTAAACTTTTATGCTTCATAATATTAAAGCAACTCATGTGAGAGACTGTTTCAACATGAAAGGTTTATAGTTGAGATATAATGTGTATTTTATTGTTTGTAGTAAAAGTCATGTATACAGAAGTCCTGGGTATTAATTTTAATATTTGCACAAAATCTTTTTTCTGTGATATGTTAACACCGACAATTTTACTGTCGATGTTCCTTTCTTTTGAGATTCCGGAGCCGAGGGAACTTATGGGGTTTTGCTTCTTCGTTTGCTTCATTTTCATTTTTATTTCTCTGAAGCAAGAGACTTTTCATGGCGTTCAGTACAAAGACCTCGGATCAATTCTTTGTGTTAAACTTGGTTGCCTCTTGGCCGTATAACTTTGAGTGCAAATCATTGAACTCTTTAACAAAGTATTGTAGAAAATATAATGGGTAAAAAATTTTTTTAAAAATTCTAATTTGAAAAAAAATGAACGTATAGCAACCCAAACCAAACACAAAACCCTATAGCATATGATTCCTATGTGTATCTATTTACATACATACACATTCTGTACTGAAAATTAAAATAATCCGAAATGTGCATTATCAGTGGTTATTTTAGGAACATAGAAGTATGTTCTTTTAATTTTACTCTTTAAGCCTTCCCATTATTCTCAGATCTTCTACAAGAAAGTGAAACACTTATGAGCACACAGGAGATCAAAAGTCATTCCTAAGTGCTCATTTGTTTACTTCGGGGTGCATATTCAAATACGTTTTTTATGTTTTTCAAATAAATAGGAGATACTGCAGTTTCAAATTATATATATACATATATAATTACTTTATATAAGTACCTCGGTGCGTGAAAGTCAATAAAACATATTAAGTAGTTAAAATATACAATTTCTGCACATTATTATTATCTAAAACTCAAGCTTTCATTGTACATTTTGAAACATAACGAAATGAAACGATATCCTCCACTCTCTCTATTTCTAACATATATGTATGTACATATATATATATACATGCACATGTATATACGTATATATAATTATGGATTATTCCATACATTAGATAGATAAGTTAATGCATAAAATCTAAAAGAATATGCACCAAGCTATTACTCATTAACACTGGTGATTTCTTGTGCTTGGGATTCACATTCTATACTACTGTATTGTTTAATTTCCTTTCAACAATAAGCATATATTTCATTTTTAGTAAATATATATAGCAAAGGTATTTTTTCAAATATTAAAATCTTTAGCTATAAAAACTCCAAAATATCCAAGTTCAGAAAGTAGACTAAGTAACTGAATTTTTTTAAAGCCTTTTCTATCATAATGATTTGATGAATTGGGCACATTACCAGCTCTCTGAGTTATTGTTAGAAACAAAATTGTGGAAGTACTGTGATTTTGCATTCACTTTTTGACTAGCCATTATTGTTGTTCAGATTGCTTAAACAGTTCAACCATACATATTTAATCACTGCAAAGAAAACTTAATTCTAGGGAGTGATAAGCAATCAGGGTAATGGGGGATAAAAGGTGGCTCGTCCCAAAATAACCACAACATATTATTAGAGGCGAAGTAAAATTTAATGTATTTTTGTAGGAAATAGAACAGATTCTGGATTTCATAATATCCAAGACTCTTAAAAGTTTATGGCATGTGTTTATGTATACATTACATGTTATAGATTATGCTAATATTGTGGTTTAACCTACAATAAACAGATGTTTAGAGAAGCATTTAACCCGTTCAGAGAAGAACACCTTTGATTTCATAATGTGAGGGATCTGGCTTGCAAAGCATTTTATCAGTTTCTCAACTGACCATTTGTAGGATGAGGCTTGGTCCATATGACCAGTGTTCCTTCATGTTTTTGTCAATATCCTAGGACTGTCTGAAGAAATGAACTATTTCTGTCCTTTCTGTCACTTTTTCCTTTGCCCTAAATACAAGGAAGAAAAGAATCAACATTTGTATAAGTCACTATTCTGCACCCGAAAGCAAATGTAGATTTTGATTTAGGAGAAGCTAATAGGAGGGATGAATTCTTCCTTTTATCTGAGCTAAGGAACATTCACCTCCTGAGAGATGAATGGGGAACATGTTATGTCAATTAATATATATTGAATGTATGTAAAACAATGATGTGTCTATTATTCAACTGTCACTATTATGAAATTGACTACAAATTTATTTCCTAGAGTTCAGAATTTATTCCTTCCTTTTGACTTTCATTTATACACTTTTTAAGATAAAAAGTAATTTCTTCCAACCGCTGGATTATAAATTCAACCTGGAATCTGATAATCAGATTCCACTTTTTTTCTCTTTTATCTCATCACAGATGATAAAGATATTGCAATTGGAATTCAGCTGTGACAGTATAGTTGATTAAGCTAGTCTAATTGGCTTTGCAGTGTTAGCAGAAACCAAAATTTAATGGCTGATTTTCCCCCATAGTAAAATAAACCTCTATGATTCATAGTCTCAGAGAACAGAATTCTGTTGATTAAGAAAGTCTTTTTATGGACAGTAAAGAACTGGCTCTTAGAATTTAAACTTCAAAGTTGTATTTTCTCTCTGAACTTTTTAGAATGCAAGAATTCCACTGTTGTTTAAAAATATGAATATTTGGGATAATGGGATAAATATTTTTAAAGGAGTCAAAATTTATCAAGGATTTGAAGGAAGAACTTTAAACATTGCTTTTAAGTAATGTTTAAAATAAGTGTGTTCATGAGTCATTTCATAGAATTAGATAAGAGCAAAACTCATAATGGCAAGTCATGCACAAAGAGTGAATGTAGCTGAGGAAGTATGGACCACAGCTGAAGCCACCATGGGGCTGCGTCCTCTTGTTACGGGGGAACCAAAGTATTTCCTGTGGTGACTGGAGTAAATAAGTGCCAGAGCTAGGACAGGAAGTGAGAAAATATTTCTCTTTCAAGCTTTAGACTTGCTATTATTTTTCTCCAGTGTTTCCCTGTGGAGTTCTTTTAGCAGGACCTTGCCCCAAACTGAGAGGCAGGCTTCATCCAGTCTTGTCATTCCAAATTAATTAAAGCTATCCAGTTTGACTCAGTTTTCTATGATTTCAAATCAAAAGCTGAAGGAAATGGATTTTTAAAAACACTTTTAATGACAAGGTTTTAATTATGATAACTTGATCTGAGTACAAATAGAAGCGGATTATAACTCATCTTTGACCATTCCATGAATTGGTAACCCACTAACCAGTAGGATTTAATAAATAAGAGCATATCATTTTCCATTACTGGTGTGAATAAGAAGCAGTTATGAAACACATCCCCACCATCATCTATTTCTGAGGACGGTAACAAAATTGTTCTTACTTCTAAAAAGTTTATATAATTTCATGTCTTCAATGATATATCCTAAAATCAAGTTGGAATTTCAGGTAGACCTGAGGCCCAGGTACAAATGGAAAGAAGCTCCTTAAAATTTAATTAGCTATAAATTCTGAGTATTACCATAAAGCTTACTGAAAATGTAGCAGAATATAAAAACCATCAGAAAATGAGTATGCTATCAAACCCTACATTGCAAGTGCTTTCATTCTTCTGTCAAAGAAAAGCTAATTTGTGGGTAAAATGTTATTTAAAAATCATAAAACTAGCCTCATTTAAAAAGGAAAACAGTAAGATCTCACAGTACCTCAGGGATTAAAATTTTTGCTCTTTTCAAGTAAACTAGACTGCCAAATTAAATTTGAAGTCTATAAATTATTGATGGAATTCATGTTGTTAGTATTATAATTGAAGTAAGGTTTAATATTGATAGAGGTTTCTATGACCAGCTTTTATGACTGCTTTGCACACAGTTCACTTTAGGAAACACAATAAACCAAGAAAAGAAATAGAACAAGAACCCAAGACTCCAGATTTCTCAGAAAGAAACACTTATTTCTCATTTATTCTGGGGAAACACCAGTCGGAAGTTGATTTAGTTCACACTGGATGAAAACATGAAATAACTGAACTGTAATGTTATTTATTTCTTGTTTTAGGGGCTGATGTTATCAACTTTGATGGCCATGTTGTGTTACCATATAGATTCAGAAACAAGAAGATGAAAACACTGAAAGATGTCATTGCCTTGAAATTTAAAACCACTGAAAGTGAAGGCGTGATCTTGCACGGAGAAGGACAGCAGGGGGATTACATTACTTTGGAACTGAAAAAAGCCAAGCTGGTCTTCAGTTTAAACCTAGGTATTTCTGACTTTTGACGTCATTCTTTCTATTTATTAATATTCCCATTAGTGAAATGCTACTGTTGTTTAATCCTTAAAATGTAAATTATAAAAAAGCTCACATTGTTATCAGTTTATTTTTAATCCATAGTGGTTGGTATATATCGATATACTTATTCATCCAAAAAGTATTTATTAAACACCTGTACTGTGCAAGGTGTATACTAGCATCCTGGATATAGCAGTGAAAACATAAAGTCGTTGAGTTCACGAATTTTATGACCTAGTGGAAGAGTCAGACATTATATTATCTATTATTATTTTAAAACAACTAAATCAGAAAAACGACTCAAATAATGATAAGTACAGGTGACCATTGAAAACAGCATAGCAGTTAGGGGTGCCAACCGCTGCTTCCACAGTCAGAAACCCACATATAACTTGACTCTACCTTTGACTTTTTACATCTGTGGTTTTAATCAACCATGAATCAAAAATACCGTTTTTGATCCAAGGTTGGGAATCCTAGGTTGGGAATGCAAAAATTTGTTTTTCATCCATGTTTGGTTGAGTCCGCAGGTATGAACACCTGGCTTCATTTATTGGAAAAATAAAACTGCATTATTATAAGTGGACCCACACAGGTCAAACTCATGTTGTTCGAGGGTCAGCTTTAGTATGAAATCAGTTAAGTAAGTAATACTATAGTGCAGAGGCAAGAGGGGTCAACATTAGAATACGTACTGAGGAAAGTCTGAGGAGATGTTCAAGCTGAGATCTGAGAGATGACAAAAACTAGCTACGAAAATATCAGGAAGGAGAGCATTTCAAAGGAAGAAATCACTAGAGGCAAAGCCCTGGCATGCTTAAGAAGCAGGAAGGAAGCTGGTATGGATAGATGCTGTGAGTAAGGGGAGAGCAGGTGAAAATCACAAGTTAGGGATTGTTCAGACCCTCTGAGATCTTGTAGGGCATGGTAAAGAGTTTAGATATTGCTTTTTTAAGAATAGAAAGCTTTTGGTAAGCTTTAAACTGGCATTGCAGTCTTATTTTTAGGAGTTTACTCATTCGTCTGTAAGAGAAAATGCTTCTGTCGACGTGAGAGTCAAAGGTAGACTTCTGCATAGTGCATGTGAGAGCTGGCCCTGGACTGCAGAAGGTGGCTGCCAGTGGAGATGCTGAGAAATTGGTCCACTTAGGAGATGATTTTAGTGGCAACTAATTGAATATTTAATAAGAAGGGAAGATAATAAAAGATCATTTCTGGGGTATGACTTGAGCTCCAATGGACATTAATATCATTTTCAAAAATAGAGAAAACCATTTTTTCTACAGTTTCTTCTAATACAGGATCATTAATTTCCTCCCGTAGAGGAAATACAGAGATCTGTTTGGATAGGGTGCATTTTAATTGCCATTAGGCATCAAAGTTGAGATTTCAGTAAGCGAGTTGCATGTTATGAGATTGACAAGAGAAGGTGCTAATTGGAGACCGAGAAGTGGACAGCAAAAAGGAGGAAGAATGAATATGATATCACCGGGAGGAGGGAAACAAAAGAGGTATCTGCTGTGTTGAATTCACTTAGAATGTCACATAAGAAAATCAAAAAGACAGGTTACTATTTGGCCACATAGAAGTTATTATTGATTTACTCTCAGTGGAATAATATATATGTAATATGAAAAAAAAAAGTCTGCAAGGAAATAGACCACACTTTTTAATGGTGGGGATGAGTGGTTAATTTTTATATATTAATTCTTCATAATATTCTCTACTCAATATTGAACACATATTTGTTACTGGTGAGGAAAAGAGCCCTAAATAATTTTTGAAACTAGGTTCAATAGGAGGTAAGAAGGAGAGAAGGAGGTAAACCAGAAAACGTAAATTCTTTATAAAAAAGCATACACACACTTGCACACGCACATATACACTCAGAGCAATTGGATTATTTCTAAAAAAATTTAGTTTTTCAAACCTTTCTCCTTTTTTTTGAAAAGTGAAACATAGTCAGTTTCAAAAGTCACGTTGTTTTACAAAGGTGTAATATTACATTACTGTTCTGAAACAAGTAACTGATCGTATGACCTCACAAAAAAATCATTACCATTTCACTGGAAAATACCTATCTTACAGATTTTTATTGACTGACTAGCACTATGACAGCCATGGAAATGGTCACTCATTCATCGTCACTCTTTCATGCCATTACCTAAATATCAGGCATATGTAGCTGTGCTTAGCCTTCTAGTCTGAATATTTAAATAAAACTAAGTGTAGCCTTTCACTCACTCAGATTTACTTTCTTCCCCGCCCCCACATACATACACAGTTATGATCACACATCCACATCTTGATTTCATCAACAAATGGAAAGAAAATTTGATCTAGGAAACTCATAAAAAATGTCAGGTAAAAGCATCATTAACATCTTAAATGTGCAGGGAAAAGGAAATAATTTAATTGTTTAGTCAATCATATGTTTTTCTTATTTATGCTGAAATGATATATTTGTATAGCATTTATTTTTGCCTGACTATGAAAAGCAATCCTTCATTAGACAAAATACAAAATGATATACAATATATAGACAGCACCCAGAGATGACCTTAGTAAACATTTTGGATTCTCACAGCCTTTTACTCTTATTTATAGTCTTATTGCTGTGGAGAACTCATTTCAGAACTAGATTAATGCTACACGTATACTTCTGCAGGTTTCTAAAGTAGAACTTAGGTAAATTTTCCATACCATTAAATATTACACTGTACTTAAGATAATGGCATTTGGAGTCAGAGATAACTAAAAATTGTCATACTGTGTTTTCTTGACCAAAAAATAATACCAACGACAATAAAAGATTAACAGGTAACATTTAACGACTGTTCACTATATGCCAGGAGGTGTATTAAATTCTAAATCCTTTGCATTGACTATGCCATAATCCCCATGGCAACCTTGTAAAGCAGGTATTATTTCCACCCCCCTTTTTGCATATGAAGAAACAGAGGCCTAGAGAAGTTGTCAACTTACTTAGGATCACAGAGCAAGTGATGGTGGAGCCAGCATCAGAACCCAGAGCCCAGGGGACACCGACTTTTTAAGGAACCTACCAGTTTTTTAATAGCTCATTAGTTTTAAGGGAGCAGACTGTTTTCATCTTGAGTAGCTTTTACGTCCTTTGAACATAAAACTTTTTAAGGGTAGTTACACGCTGGATTTCCCATGGCAACTTCAGTAGACAGAGCGTCAGCCCATAGTGCTGTAAATAAAAGGCTTAGTACACAGCCGTGGTGTCATCACTTGTTTCTTTTCCACTTCCATGACTCAGGAAGCAACCAGCTTGGCCCCATATATGGCCACACATCTGTGATGATGGGAAGTCTGCTGGATGACCACCACTGGCACTCTGTGGTCATTGAGCGCCAGGGCCGGAGCATTAATCTCACCCTGGACAGGAGCATGCAGCACTTCCGCACCAACGGCGAGTTCGACTACCTGGACCTGGACTATGAGGTGAACCTGAGCACATGTGAACTGTGCTAAACGCTGAGTGGCTGCCTCAGTCTCCTGCTTGTATTGTTGTTAATTATGTGCCTTCCTACACCATTTTCATTCTGTTCTCCAAGGAAAAATTAACTTACGACTTCAAAACCAAATTTATTAATATGTCATTTTATTCATTTCTGAATTTTTAATAATAAATTTTTGAAATATTTTAAAGATCTTAGTAAGAAAATAACAGTTTGAAGAAAGGGACCATTTATCATGATATCAAGACCATTTAACAAGTCCAGAATAAATTTAAGTCGTAATCTTTCCATTGGTAATTAGTTATAATATTAACTACCTGTTCTTATTAATGTACAGTGTATATACATAGGGTTGCCTCATATTTATTACAAAATATTGAATAAGAAAGCCTGAGTTCTCATTTATATTAAGCCATTTATAAATTTATGACCAAAGATGGTTCTTTTGACAAGTTCTATTTTTTCAGATATAATTGTCATAAAAGAGATAAAGTAAAATATAGAATATTTTAAAGAAATTTTCTGTAAATGGGCATTTTTTACCTTCCAGGTGATCAAAGATTTAGAAATTATCAATGATCATATTGGTCCAGCAAAAACTACATATTCTCATAATATACTGGGAGGCATATCAGGTTTTTTAATAAATTATATGGAGAGCGCTTCAATCTAAAAATGTCCATAAAAATGTTAATCATAATTAGGAATAAGAGTTCTTTGAGAAGATATTTATCACAGAATAATATATACTAAGAGAAGGGATAACTAAATGAACAAGAAGAGCATAGCAGTAAAATAACAGGGTGAAATATTACTTAGCCAGAGGTTTCCACACTTTCTTAATACATGGAACCCTTGATGTATTATTAATTTTCCACAGCTGTCCTAGACCATTCTGTAATAATTAGAACCAAACAACTTAATAAATGTTTATGCCATGACAGCTAGTAGCCATTTGAAAAAATACACATAAAAGAAGAGATGGTTTTATTTTATTCTTAAAATAACAGTAGTTATTTAATAATGAGATGTGTGCACCTCCATTGAACAACATCTCAGATGTTGGAATCAGATCTGACACTGCTATCCTCATTTTCTGTCCCACTTTACTTTCATTTGACACTGTTTTTTTTTTTTCGAAATTCACAAAGACAGGACATCATCAAAAGCAATGGAGCAGGATCTTGGAATGGTGAACTAACTCAAGCTAGTGTTAAACACAGTGTCCAAAAGATACCAAGTATTACTGTGTTCCTTTTTAAAATGTAAAGTATACCTTTTTGAGTTTGTTGTGCCACCTCAGTGTTCCTTGGCTCCCAGTATTGAAATTGTAGATACTTCCATATACATACACGTATATTATCAATATCTATATCTATCTATACATATATATGTGTGTGTGTGTGTGTGTGTGTGTGTGTGTGTGTGTGTGTGTTTTAGGAATGTGGAATATACTCACCATAAAATACTAAGTGAAAAGGGATTTATGACTGTTTTCTATTTTGTTTATATGTTTAAATAGTTTCTAAATTTTCTGTAATAGGTATATATTACATATATTCCTAAATAGGAATTTATTTGTTTTTAACATTTTATTTTTTTAATTTTCCCCCTCCTCCCTCCCTTCTGGTAACCACTAGTCCATTGTCCATGTCCGTGAATCTCTGTTTGTTTGTCTTGTTCATTTATTGCTTTTAGGTTTATATCCCACATATGTGCTGTCATGTGATTTTCAACCTTTTCTGTCTGGCTTATTTCGCTTAGTATGATTATCTCAAGGTTCATCCATGGTGTTGCAAATGGCAGTATTTCATCTTTTCTTATGACTGAGTAATAATATTCCATTGTGTATATGTACCACAGTGTCTTTAGCCAGTCATCTATCGTAGGACTCTTTGGTTGTTTCCATGTTCTGGCCACCGTGAATAATGCTGCTGTGAACATTGGTGTGAAAATATCCTTTCGAATATGAGTTTTCAAGTCTTTAGGGTAAATACTCAGTAGAGGGATTGCTGGATCATATGGTAGATCAATTCTTTGTTTTTGAGGAACCTCCATACCGCTTTCCATAGTGGCCGCACCAATTTATATTCCCACCAGCAGTGTACGAGGGTTCCTATTTCTCCACATCCTCTCCAACATTTGTTATTACTTGTCTTGTTGATTATAGCCATTCTAACAGGTGTGAGATGGTATCTCATTGTGGTTTTGATTTGCCCTAAATAGGAATTTAGAATAGAATATGCTATATAAATGCTGGTATACATACTTTATTAACATTAAAAAAATTGTTATCAGGAAATAATTACCCCTCCAAAAAAGATTTATTTTAAGCAAAAATGATTGCCAAAAAGGAAAGAATGTGAAAATCCCAGAAATTTCTGTCTTCTCTAAATTAATATTATTCTTGGCTTATGTGACTTATTTCCCACTTTATGAGAGAACTTAAAGATGAATTATTCATTCTGCATTAATAAACTTTGAAGTATCAGAGAAGAGGTGAGAAATCCTCGAACATTAGCAGTGGGCAAACACAATTCCAGTTTTCAAAGAATAGAATTGAAAATGTAGAGTCATAGGCCCCACTGCGTTTGCGATGACATGTCTGTGAATATTCATGCACACAGAACCCTTTCCATCCAGGGTCAGCAGTTCATGGACACTTCGAAGCCCATCTGTATACAATACCATGTTTGAGAACCTCATCTGTAGACCACACTGCCTGGGACATTTCTGTTAGAGAAAGACACTAGGAAGAAATGTCAATTCACTGAGAAAGAATCAACTTATTTCTCTTTATAGTACTGCTGATTATATATTACTTTCCTCCAGGATACTGCAGTTATTGGCATGAACTGCAATGAAAGTGGTTGGGCTTCCTTTATGTGTGTACATGTTTATCTTCATACGAAGGGCCTCACTTTGCTTACTCGTTTAAAGTAAGTTAGAGACTCTGCTAGAGTCTGTCTCACTGTTTTTGCACTTATCTCCTTGACTCATCCACACAGTAAATACACACAAACCTTAAAAGGAGCCAGTTATGAATAATAAAAGACACTCCCGTCACTCAGGAAATCCAAGGATTTTAGGAGCTCTGTGCCAGAAACTGGGGACAAAGACCAAATATATTTATTACACTACACCAATATACAGTATTTCTATCATAGGGACATAATAACTGTAAATAACTTTAAGGGCATACATGATAGTAAAATGTAGAGATGAGTTCTGAGTAGTTACTAATTTTCTGTTTAATAAAATTTGTTTAATTTAAAGCTTATATAATTTGATTTTTAACAATGGCTCTGTTTAACAATCAGTTCTCATGAGCCAGTATGACCAGGATTCTGCACGCCACTGCTGGCAGTAAATAAAGAACACCTATTACCATTTCTGCAGATGTATATCATGAAAGAAACAACAGAAACAAATTTGCTTCTTTGACCTGATGTGAGAATGTTTTGTGGAAGAAGGGCTTGGGTTTACCAGTTCACCTCACTCACCTCTCTGTAGCCCAGTTACACCACAGAGAGAGCCGATCACCATTTGCCATCAGGCCGGGGCTACGTGGTGACCAGAGAAGAGTGCAGTGATACGAAGGTGCACTTGGCTTCATTCTTTTATTTCTTAGCCAATGAAATTATAGGGCAGGACAGTAGACTAGTGTTTGGCGGGGCTTCTCTCTTCTCTTCAGCTAAATTCCAGGGCGCATTCACTTCGGATAGTATCCCTTGCCTTTGCCATACAGCTCAGCTCAGAAACTGGAGGATTGGACCCCTTTGTCCACTGTAGGACCTGGCAAGAATTGTAGAGAGAAACTGGTTAAGATTTTGGAGAGAATCAACTGCATGACCTCAAACTGGAGTGAAAAACCTGGGTTTGAGTCCCTTTTTGCCCCTTACTGGTTGTGTGACAGTGGAAAAATCATATCCCCCCTTCTTTAAAATGAATATAATAGCACATTTCTTACAGGGGTATGTAAGGAGGCAACAGGAAGTAATAGAAGTTACTATACATATGTGTGTGTATCAGTTGCAATTAATTAGACTGCATATAACAAGCTCATGTTTATTCTCTTTCATATAAAAAGAACCCCTAGGCAGGTAACTCTGCGCTCAAATTACAGCATCATGGTCATCAAGATCCTGGTCTGCTTTTCTCTTGCTGCTACTCCATTTTCACTGCAGATTGTGCTAAGATAGCTACTTCCATTCCACCTTGCGTTGCAGCCAGTGGGAAGGAAGAGAGAGTGAAAGAGGTTGTCCTCTTCCCTCGCCTTTAATTATATTTTTTGGAGTCACACACAGCTCTTTCATTTAAATCTAATCAGACCAAAAGTTGCTTCAGAGAGGTTGGTAAATGCCATATATTGGCTGGGGAGCAGTGTGCACAGCTGAAAAGCATTCCCCCCGCTAAAGAAGGTAGGAAAAATACTAGAGGTATCTAGTAGTCTTTGCCAAACTTTGTAAACTCTTGGTAGCTAACAAAATAGTTAATGCAGTTATATTTCAGAATCAAGATTGTCATTGAATGACAGTATCATTAATAAGTTGATCATATGAGTCTGATTATTAATCTAGCAACCGCAATATGTTTTTATTATCAGAATAATTATTATAATATTAGAAGTTGTTTTGTGGTCCAGCCACTTCATTTTACTAATGAGAATATGTAATCAGAAAGAAGAGAGCACCTAACATCATATGATTAGTTACATTGGGAACTGGGATTTGAACCCACATCTCTTAATTTAAGGAATCTGGTTAATTGAGCCTGCGATGCTTCACCAGGGCACCTTCCACAAGATAGGACATGTGCCACAGGTTGCTGAAAGCAGAGGAACACAAGGAGCGTTTGAATCATCCTCCTAAAGGAAAATAAAAGTCCCCAAATAAAGAAACTCTGCACACAGAGAAGGAATAAAACAGCACTTAAAATAGTATTTAGTAATATCATTCAAAATATGATGGTGCACATCATTAAACATAGACGGTCTTATTACTGTCAACTGGGAAGAAATGGATAAATAAATGATGGATAGGAAACAACACTCCGCTTAAGTATCAATAATTCTTACCCTTGGTATTAGGTACACTTATATCTACCTAATAAGTCCAGTTCAGTGCCAATTGAAAATATATTTTCAATAATTCCATCATTTGATTACTCTCTAGTATTTCTTTTGTGGTTTCTTAATTCTTCATATATCTTCAGTTTTCCTCTTTTCTTCCTATATATACACTTTCTGGTAAATGATATACATCTAACCATTATTTTTTTTATTTTAAGTGAAATCTTTGGTTATTTTTCTATTTTGTCTCATAAACCATGTTAGTTTGTGCTTTTCCCCTAAAACTAATTAAGAATTTAAAATGCCATGACACTAAATAACAAAATAACTTTCTAATGGCCTCTTAGAACTCAAAGACCTTTGCCTTATGTTTTAAATACAAAGTCTTGACATTTAAAACTATCTTAACTATTGCTTCATTTTCAAAACTTTGTAAGAAAAATTAATCATAACTTTGATAATTAAAACATATAACATCTAGATTATGTATCTTGATAGTACAGCTATGATTAGTAGATTCATTTACTAATTCATTATTAGCAGTAGTTGTCATTGGCAGTGCATAAATAAGCATAATTTTGTATTGTTTGAAAATATTACAGTACTATAATTTTACTAAAGATTTATAGAAAAATACATACTTTCTTTTTACAGGTGATAATAGAGAAGCACAGGAAGGAGCATCAACTTTATTCCTTAGGATTTAGAAGACCTATAATATCTTTAAGCCTATACTTCTCAAATTATAGCCCCCAAGTTCTAAGATGTTCCTAAGCAATATAGTAATGCAACTTTTTGAATAAATTTCTGTATTCACCATAAGCCTAATGAATTTTTTACTATAGTAAGTCTAAATAGGATAAATACAATATTCTCTGCTTTTGGCTACAGTTTTATCAACTTATATATTAGTGCTGATTATCTCATGATGACTAGAAGCATTTATTGATAGTATGTCTGGGAATGATAAACATAAAAATGTATTTTTAATATTAATAAAATGTTTGCTGTATAAAAATCTTTTAAAATAGTCTCAGAGAATTTATAAAATGCCTTTCAGATAGCAAAAATGCAAGGGATTGTTACTATTTTCTTGTTAAGGTTATAATTGTTAAAATTAATGATACTATTATGCACTTTAATAGCAACATAATTTAATATGTAACAGATTTTGGAGACAGAAAAATATCTGTGTATATTGGTCAAATTAAAGATAACTGACTTTGGCTGTATTATTAGTTTTGTCTAATTTATTGTGAATGTTGTTATTTTTTTTTTAAGTCGAATACAGTTTGAATGTGCATATTTTATCTTTTTTCTTAAAGATAACCTTTGGAGGCATACCTTTCTCTGGTAAGCCGAGTTCCAGCAGTAGAAAGAATTTCAAAGGCTGCATGGAAAGCATTAACTACAATGGCAACAACATAACTGATCTTGCGAGAAGGAAGAAACTGGAGCCCTCAAATGTGGTAAGATTTGTCACCCCCAAAATGTTGGTTCCTAGAAAGATCAAAAAATTTGTGTTTTCTATGGACTGTTGAACAACAACATCATAGCATTTTTCATCATGCTTATGTTGGACTCGACAGTGTAAAACTGACTTTAGAGTTACTAAACGCATAGGTACCAGATAGATTCAGAATAGACACCGTTTTTTGAGTTCAGTTAGCCTGAAACAGGCATCGAGTTTTATTCAAATGCAGCATAGAACTTTAGCGCCAGTGAATCTGGGCTCCCCATGAGATAGGCTTCACCCCAGCAGTTCTGCAGCCCTTAAATTGACAGCATCATGTTTCTAAATGTCTCATCATTTATGGCCCTCTACTTCTTGTTTATGACTTAATTCCATATTTTAAAACTGTGAAAACCAGAAACTTTATTATCTTCACTTCCATATTTCCAAAGAGAATTAATCCAAGTATATTAATAAGTGCACTTTTTTCCAAGGCTCTAAACATACTAAACATTATACCATTAAATAATGATTGATTACCACTGGATGGTGAAAGCTGTGACAGAAGCTCACAGTGGTCTTCTGGCTCTGGCGTGGACATTTCCAGGTTTAACTGTTTCAAGCAGGAGAGCAAAAATCAGAGAATGCTCTAGCACACCTGCCTCTCTATGACACTGCTTAGGATCACGAAAAGGTATCAACTTAAAAATCTAGTGTGTGTATTCCCCGTCATTCTTCAAGAACAGGGTCTACTTCAGCCCAGAACATTGTTTAAGAGAGTCTGGGATTCCAGATCCATACAGTTGAGAGCCACTGGAAGTAGGTAATATAATGAGTGCAGGTATTGTGCTCTAAATGAGTTCTGATGGTCTCATTGCCCCACGTTTATTTGAGCCTAGAGTTTTCATAAAATGAGTGGACAAATGGAAATCCCCTATGAATAAACAGGATTCATTTAGGTTGGGCAATGTAAATTTTTTCTTTAATAATTATTTTTCTAAAAGTTATAAAGTTATACTAAGAGCTAAAAATTTAACTTTGATGAAGTTATTTCATAAAGCATATTGACTATAGAGAAAAATAGTGATAGCTCCATTTATAGGCAGTAGGCACCGTGCTAGGCATGTTACATTTCGTAGGTGGGAAAACTGAGATTTAACCAGGAGAAATAACTTTGCAGGGTAACTGAATATGAATGGCAGACAGACCCCCAAGGTCATGGTCTCCTTCCATACTGTGTTCTTATCTAGAGCAGTATTAATACATATGCTATTTTGAGCATTGTATAGAATGGCACTGGGGTCCTTCTGTTCTCTCAGAAATTGTTGCTTAAAATAGAAAGGTACAGAATCCAAATCATCATAATAGTCTTTCCATTATTTGCAACTTTAAGAAGAGGTAATGTGATATTTCTACCCAAATCTCCCAGTTGGTTCTGAGATGTGTCCATTAGGTACCCAAAACTATGAAGAATTGCTCTATGGAGATTCATTCCAAAATCAACTTTAATGTGAAATGTATTGCAGTCATCTAAATTACTTTCCTAATCTGAACAAGTGGCTTGAAATACAATCTTTGAAACTCCTTGAGAATATGTCAACCAGACTCAACTACTATATCTATCTCAGAACATTGCATCTATAATTGGTGCTGTTTTACTTGAACAGCAAAGGTACTGAGTAAAGCATAAACTACTATATTTCTTAAAATAAAATGAGCAGGCATAGAATATACTTTTAAATAAACATACATATACAGATTAAAATGTTAGGCAGAATAGACCCAAACAGGATGTTTATCAGGTAGCTCTTCAAAGGCAAATATGTAGGAAATTTGCTTTCAAAGATGTCAGGTCCTGATATTTCAGTGAAATCGACTCAGCTCTCATTTTGCAGCCCTCTCCGTGCGCACACCCATTCCCTCGTTACACACTGACTCCAGAGTCAGCACCGTTATTCAGGAGGGACCTTTAATTTTGCCAGGAGACAATCCCCCCAACACAAATGTGTGGTGGTCGTTACAACATCCCAGTTATTATGGATAGGCAGTGTTTTCATCAGTGAAAGTAAGCATTTAAAAATAATCATCTGTGAAGATATAGTAAAAATTTAATTTGAATATAATTCAGAGAGAGCCTGCCTTAAATTTAATGGTTAATGTGCTGAAATGGAAAAACTATGCATCCAGGGATAAGATAAGTGGTATGTAAAAAAAAAATTCGAAGGGCCAGTTGAAAATATCATCATATTATAATCCTCAAAATATAATGGTGGGATAAAAGAGGTTTGGAAGCAAGTGTGAATTTTCAAATCTTTAAAAAGAAAGTACTTAGACCCTGTAATATAAAATTCATTGTATCTGAATGGAGTATGAAAGGGAAGGAGTAGTTTTGCAAATTTTGTTTTCATTTTGTACATTTATGTCACTGTTCCATAATCTTTAATGCATTTTGATTTAAGCACAGTTCACAGGAATTTAAATGGAATTTTGAGTTGAATAACATAATAATCTGATATAATCACAATTATGCTGATGCCAAATATTATATATATTAGGTGTGGTGATAAAACCCAATATTATTGGCCCCATAATATCAGTTTAATAAATTGCAACCAAATGGCCATAGTTCTCACTGAGACCAGATTAATATATTAATGAACACTGGAATAAGCCATCCAGAAGAAGGCAGTGGCATCTCCTCCCTGGCTGATGCATCATCCCTGGGGAGCAGCAGCTGTTCAGTGGTCCAGGGGTCCACACTCAAACTTACAGAGATGTACAGCCCATCCTTGGATCAGCCCATTACATCAGGCTGTCAGGCAGTCAATTCCATGATGGACAGTGCCTGCTACATTCTTCAACTTGATGGCCAACTTCTGTACCTCGTTAGGTACACACACCAAATAGATTCATGCAAACGTATCCAACTACTGAATCCATGCCACACTGCTGCGTGTGAGAGTTTGGCACAGGCTAAAGCTATGTTTTGAAATTTGTAGAACTGTAGCTTGTCTACTATCTTACATGGATGCTGATTTTATTCTGCATGTTCCTCACACATTGCCCTTCTGTTTCACAGGGAAATTTGAGTTTCTCATGTGTGGAGCCCTACACAGTGCCTGTCTTTTTCAATGCTACCAGTTACTTGGAGGTGCCTGGACGGCTGGACCAAGACCTGTTTTCAGTCAGTTTTCAGTTCAGAACTTGGAACCCCAGTGGTCTCCTGCTCTTCAGTCACTTTGCAGATAATTTGGGCAATGTGGAGATTGACCTCACTGAAAGCAAAGTTGCTGTTCATATCAACATCACGCAGACCAAGATGAGCCAAATAGATATTTCCTCAGGTCAGTGAAATCTATTTGATGTTTGCTCCTGTAGCTGCTAATGTGAGTTCCACATGTTTGTTTTGTTTTGTTTTGTTGGTGTTACATGCTGGTGGTTATGTTTAAATTCAGACTTTGGGGATTATCTCTTGGTTGCCCTGAGTGCTAATTGATAATGGAAACTTGGAGCCTTGCTGAGAGGTTACGGAGTGGGCAAGGAGGAAAGTTGGTTGAGACTGTCTTAGAGCACCCAGATCTCCTATTTTATATAAGTGCTAGTTCATTTTTAATAGAGAAATGGATATTTCTCTAGGTGAATATCTTATGTTTAAAAACAAAGTGTTTATTTTGCTAACCTGATAGTATCTGGTATCCTTTGACTTCATGGACATTCAAATATCTTTTACTATTAGTAATGGGATTGTATTAATTTGATTATGGGTTTAAAGGCATATTCAACTGCCTAAGTAATACTTTAAAGCAGTCTTGCTAAATTTATGCAAATTGTCACAGAATAAAAAGACAGACAAACAAGGGTGAATACAAGATATATGTATCAACTAAAGGAAGACCAACTTGGCTAAGTAAGATAATTCTTAAACTTGACATCAGTGGTAGATAAGCTGAGCTGCTTAGGTAATATTGTTGTCATTTGAACAAGTTTAGCAGTTATGGAATATTCTTTGAGTAATATGGTACAAAAAAAGTTGATCTTGCAAAATGAGATGTTCTAAGCAAAGAAAAATTGAGTGTGCTATAGGACTGATAAAGAGTAAAATTTTTACCAAATTCCTCTAGACGGTCCTTGCAATAGTTGTTTTTATTTTGTAAAGGACTAATTAGAAGACAGAGAATATGAATATTCACTGAGCCCCTTGTTCAGATGTACAGAATACTAAGAGAGGAAGTTCATGACAGAGTCCTGGACTGCATGACTGCCGGCTCTGATATCTAAACATTCTCCGTTCACTCGTGATACCATATGCATACCTTCAGCACAGTTTACATCACGTCCTATCATTCATGTCCATCCCATTTCTCCTCTATGCTTGCTGTCAGCTCTTTGAAGGCAGAAGCCATGCCTGTTCTATCTCTAGGATATAAAACAGCACCTATAATGGAAGAGGGGCTCTGGGAATGTTTGTCAAGTTCAACACTATGGCCCTTTGAAATAGTATTCACTAACAGAATATTTCTTGCTGAAGGTTATGTGTCCTTTTGTAAAATAGGCTTTGTGTTTCTATATGGCATGGCTGTGTGGACTTTTACTGAAAGGGATTCAAGGAAGAGATAGTAACCATTCTGGCAGAGATGTTTCTGAAATCAAAAGCTATCGTGAACTTCCTATTTATTTTTTCTGTTTATGCTCTGTTAGTTTTGCTTTTTTTCTGAATGTTTAGTCAAAATGTTTGATCAATCATATTTTATCACTACTTCCAATATAAATTCACTTGGGGAGATTTAGAGCAAATAGAAAATATCTGGAGAGATCAGAATAACACATAAAAAAATACACATGTAAATATTTACCACAGTTAAAAAACTCCTCACTAAATTCTGTTATGATTAATGATTCTTTTCTGATGACTATATAAAAATGTAAGTAGCAAGGCCTCCCTCCTGGTAATCTCTTAACAAACCAACTTTCTGGAACCATTATAATGGAAAGAATAGGATCTTAAACATAGTGATCAATAAACATTTATTAATTTCATGTAGTCTAATATAGGACTCCAGGATACTCTCATCTAATTTAAAATGTGTTTATTAAAAAATAAAGAAGAAAGGAAGCTAATATTTAACAACTAATATACCTTAATAGATCTGCTTAAATATGATAAAATTAGACTTTAGTTATTTGTGTCAATTTAACATAGAATCTGTGCAAATAAAGGGAGACTGATATGAAATCTAAATATTTCTTTAGTCTCGCTCATATATTAACATTGAAAATACCTTAATGTTTTGAATATTTCCTTTTTTTTCTACACTTGTAGTAGAAACTGAGATTGTATCAGATATCATTGCTCAAGTTTGAGAAATTTTAGTAAGGAAATCAATATACATACATTCAAAAAAGTTGTACAATGTACTCATTTAAATTGTTTATTAAAAAATAAGGAAAGAAAGAACAAAGGAATCCAATATGTGACAACTATATTCATTTATTCTACAAATAGAGTCCATAGAAGACAATTTTCATTCGTATTTTAATGCCTTATACTAAATTCAGTTAAACGTATAAGTAATAGTATAAGTAGCAACACTGAGAAAATAATTAATTTAGGAAGATCAGTTAACCCAGGGCACTAATGTTTGCTTTAACAGAGGGAGATAGTTCTATATTATGTCTACTCTATTCTTATCAGCAGTATGAACTTGAAGAATATCAGTCCTTCTTCTTTTTTTGAAATAGCTTGTGAAAGATACAAGGAAAATCTAGAAGAGGAAAATGCCCACTAACAATATTTTGGTGTGTATACACAGAAGTGCGTGTGCACAAGCACACACACTAATTCTGAAGTAGTACGTTCAGATGTCAATATGGCGATACTCAGATACTGTCTATTAATATACAGTTCTAACTTGGTTTTGCTTTTAGTTAATTCTGTGGTCCAGGATGAAAATAATTCAGGTGGCTCAAAACCCTTTTTAGTCTGTCTTGGACATCATTGTTCTTTGGTGATGAATTCAAAATAAATCCTGTAAATTTCGGAATGTTCAATATATCGTTCACTGTCTTTTTGTATATTTCCCTCCAAGTTGTGATTAATTTTCAAGAATATCATTAGTTATTGACAGTGGACTCAACTTGTAAAATTCAAACTCTGAATAACCTTGAATTTACAAAGTGGGTTATCTTTCTATGAAAATATTTTCCAAGTTGCAACACTTGTATAAAACATTTGACTATATTTATTTCTGCATAGAATAATCATTACCGATTGGTGAATACATATTTATGCATTACTTTTAATGTGGAATAAGTGGTAAAAGGACAAAACAGGTACAAGAAAGGTTGAATGGATAACATCTGTTCGCTGTGAGGATAATTTTTATTTCTACTTTTATATTCAGAACCCTAGGGAAGGTGGACCTAGAACTGTGCTTTTAAAATGATTTGGGATTTTTTAAGTTGTTTTTTCCAGCTTTTTTGAGGTATGATTGACAAATTAAAATTATGTATATTTAGGTTGTACAATATTTTTTTAGACTTACTTCATGGTGATTTAGTTTACATAAATATTGTGAAATAATTACCACAATCAAGTTAATTAAGACATTTATCACCTCACCTAGTTACTTGTGTGTGAGGGAAGAGGGGGAGGACACTTAAGATCTTCTCTCTTAGCAAATTTCAAGTATACAATACAGCATTATTAACTATGATCACCATATTGTATGTTAGCATCCCCAGAACTTTTTCCTCTCCTGACTGACAGTGCCATTTGACCAACATCTCCCCATTTCCCCTACCCCCACCCCTGGCAACCACCCTTCTACTCTCTGATTCTATGCATTTGACCTCTTCAGAGTCTGCATATAAATGAGATCACAAGAGTTTTTGTCTTTCTGTATCTGGTTTTTTTCATATAGCGTAATGTCATCTAGGTTCAAATGATTTTAATCAAAACACAGTTTGAAAACGGTTTCTATCACACCCAATAAATACCAAAACAAAGTTTTATGAAATAAAACTTATCTTGCTACTTTAGATGTACTCCCCTATTTTGATGTTTTCTTTTCTGTTTCCATTAAAAAAAATTGCTATGGTCCACGAAATGATTTCATGGCCTAAAAACAACTTGGGATCCACTGACCTACAGATTTATCCTCTCAATTGAAGAGTTGGTATTTTTTAAAGTTTTAGTTGCCTAATGGCATTTACTTTATGACTCTGTATGGGAAAACTAAATATATCTTTCAGGAACAGATTTATATTATTATAATAGTAGTAAGAAGGTATTACATGTGTATTACTGTCTGATATAAAGTCAAAAAAACAAAACAAAACCCTACTACCATTTGAGATAAGGTTTTTTTTGCAAAATGCAAAAAAATTTTAAAGCACTCAATCACAAACAGATGTTTAGAATAATACTCTAAATTTGTGGTCTGCCCTTGTTAATAAGGTCATAAAATGCGATTCAGCATTTATATATAGAAGAAGGAAAGTAATTCTATTAATGAGACCTTTCTCACCTATTAAAAACAATTTTTATTCATGTAAACAAAGCCTTTCAGAACAATCATTCAGAGTTTGCACTGGTTCTAAATCAATTGTTTGCTCAGCTGAAGTATTCAAACTTTCTTGTTTTGTTTCTGTAGACATTGCTTTAATTTTAGAATGACTTTTCAGCAACTGCACTGTGTCAGAAAACTGCACTCAGCAAATATCTTTGTCTCCAAAGATAATCTTTTTGTGGTCTCGTTTTACTTTTGTTTCTTTGTAAACTTAAGTTCTATTTGGGTATGTTAAGGTAAGGTATCTTAGTCCTCTCAGGCCACTGTAGTAAAATGCCATAGACTGGGTGGCTTATAAATAATACACGTTTATTTCTCATAGTTCTGGGGGCCAGAAGCCCAAGATCAGGGTGCTGCTAGCTAGCGTGGTCAGACTTTGCTGAAGGCTGTTCTCCAGGTTGTAGATTGTGGACTTGTGGCTGTGTCCTCACATGATAGAAGGGACTGGGGAGCTCTGTGGAGTCTCTTTTATAAAAGCAGTAATCCCATTCAGGAAAGCTCCACCCTCGTGCCCAGTAACCTCCCACAGGCTCCACCTCCTAACACCATCACACCAGGCATTAGGATAGCAACACAGTAGAACCTTGAACAACATGGGCTCTCACTGTGTGGATTTACTTGTATGTGGATTTTATTTTCAGTAAATACTGTAAATGTATTTTCTCTTCTTTATGATTTTTTAAATAATATTTTTTTCTCTAGCTTTATTATAAGAATACAGTATACAATACATATAACATATAAAATATGTTAGTTGACACTTTATGTTATCAGTA